TCTTCAGTGTCAGGCAGCCAGGCTAACCATCCTCTTCAGTGTCAGGCAGCCAGGCTAACCGTCCTGTTCAGTGTCAGGCAGCCAGGCTAACCGTCCTCTTCAGTGTCAGGCAGCCAGGCTAACCATCCTCTTCAGTGTCAGGCAGCCAGGCTAACCGTCCTGTTCAGTGTCAGGCAGCCAGGCTAACCATCTTCTTCAGTGTCAGGCAGCCAGGCTAACCGTCCTCTTCAGTGTCAGGCAGCCAGGCTAACCGTCCTGTTCAGTGTCAGGCAGCCAGGCTAACCGTCCTGTTCAGTGTCAGGCAGCCAGGCTAACCATCCTCTTCAGTGTCAGGCAGCCAGGCTAACCATCCTCTTCAGTGTCAGGCAGCCAGGCTAACCGTCCTCTTCAGTGTCAGGCAGCCAGGCTAACCGTCCTGTTCAGTGTCAGGCAGCCAGGCTAACCGTCCTGTTCAGTGTCAGGCAGCCAGGCTAACCATCCTCTTCAGTGTCAGGCAGCCAGGCTAACCGTCCTCTTCAGTGTCAGGCAGCCAGGCTAACCGTCCTCTTCAGTGTCAGGCAGCCAGGCTAACCGTCCTCTTCAGTGTCAGGCAGCCAGGCTAACCGTCCTCTTCAGTGCCAGGCAGATTGAATTATGTTTGGGTAGGTAACTAGTTACCACGCACAACAATGTTCCACTGTAAATATATTGGATGTCAGCATGTGTCTGAGAAGGTGCATAACTTTGTTCAGCACACAAAGCTGCACAGTAATGCCCCCAATTTTCACTATCAGTGTGGGGTGCCTGACTGCTCACGGAGGTACAGAAAACACAGCACTGAAATCGCATATATATAGGCTGCATAAGTGCTACCTGCAAGCTGCTCGGCCTATACCGCCTGACATATCAGCTCTACCACCTGACACATCCTTGAAATGTGTGCTTGAGGCTTGTGCATTTAAGTGTGACACTTTAGCCTCTCTTATTAAGCATTTGAAGACACACGTAAGGGGAGGAGTGGAAACTAGATGCCCATTTAGAGGTTGTGATTGCAGGTTCACAAACGTGATGACTTTTGCTTCACATATTAACAGGAAACATAGGCGTGCAGAGGATTCAGTTTTAGATGACTTGGTACTAGACAAGTCTATTACTACAGAGTCATTGCCAGAACCCATTCAGTCAACTTCAGAAGCTGCTGGTGAACATGATGATGAACATGTAATCTGTAATCCATAATAGTAAATCAGAATTTATAAATTGATTTATAACTTTTATTAAAAATGTGAAGCTGCAATGTAACTAATAACTAATTTGGTTAAATAAATGTAGAGACGTACAACGTAAAACTGTTTATTCCAATTTGTAATAGAGAAGAAGTATTACAGTTGTTCTCGATTGCTAACACACTATAATGCATAAAGCACAATTATTTTAACTGACACTTAAAGAGCAAAACATCGGCTCAAATCTCCAAACTCATTTTCAGCTTTTCACACAATTTTCAAATCAACATGGCACTTTGTGCAAACCACTGCACACGCTTCTCCACGTGAGACACAGGAATCTGACATACAGTCACATTTTAGCAGGTTTAAAACACTGATATTAAAAATGCCTCACACATGGACCAATGATCAAGAAACACCGCGTCCCCCCTCCCCCACCCTGTCCCCAGAACTACAAATGCTGGCTATTCTGTTTCGCAACATGTTCTCTATCTATGGCACGTCTCTACTAGGAGTTGTAGTTTTAAAAGACGTTTTCGTATTTCCCATAATAAGAAGTTGCCAGTATTAAACTGTGTACATCCCTGGAGGTTTAGGGGGTAGGAAACACTCACATTTAAAACATATAATTAATAAATGGGTGAAACTTGCTTGTGCCCATAATGGGCAGCATTAATATATATATATACACACATGCCAGCTAAGGTCAGAAGAGCTTTATTTAACAGCTGGTCTTATGTTTGTGACCCCTGTTGTTAATTGATAACATTACATTAATTGATAAGCCTGAAACATGCACTTGTTAAGGTTCAGAGGCACATTTAGCAAATATGGCAGTAGCCATCGATCAGCTTAAGATAAGATATACTTTATTGATCTCAAGTTTGAACATTTGCGTTACATCAGCATGTGTAACAGTTAAATATGCAGTGGTGTTTATTTGTAAATCATTTAGTATAATCACACAAATTCTGTGTTTTATATTCAACAATTCTGTGTTCTTTATTTATTGATTGTTCAATACCTGACAAGGTCGGAGATGAAAAATCTACATACATCTTATAAGAGTATAATACATTATGTATAATATCAGTTAAAATAAGTGCTTCAACATAGTTAACATTGCTGGAGGTATGCACACATATTGATAGATGTCTTGTAATGCACTATTGAGGAACCTGCGACCCAAGTTTTTAAATTCAATGCATAACTACACCATAGTTGTGTAGGCCTATATGATATGTCAATAAACCTTAGAAAATCTTGAAATCTTGAAAGGGATGTGCAAAATAGTCATTATATACAGTCTTTAATTAACTATTAGTAGAGAATAACGAGTAATTAATATACTTTATAGGGATCCTATTAATATCTAATAATAAAAATAATGAAATTCAATAACATGCTTTAACCACTAGGTGTCCCTTTATATCAGCTGTGCACCTTTATGGTGTAAATACAGCCTATCTACCAATTGGATCAAATATAAAAGTCAGCCGAATTAGTGTTGATACTGCAAGGAGACGTATTGTGTGAAAAGAAATGTAAGATGTTGTTTAATGGCTGATATATTTATGATCCACGTCACGTTTTCAGTTCCTCATGTTTTGTCTAGAAGTCTTCTCATCAGGGCTCTATAAATACAGAACTACGGCAGATATGTAATATTTAATGCAGCCGAACCGTGTATTACAATGCCGTTATGTGATGACTTCCAAAGAGAAAAGCAAGCACACTCGGAATAAAGTATTATTGTATTTTTTTTTAAATGTTTTCGGTCTGTTTCCGGTATTTGTTAATGACGATGTGCTGCGAGATGTGAGACTGGAATTGCACAGGGGAAAATAACGTAGGCTATCTTTAGATGCGGATTTTGTTAAACTAATATGTTTGCGCTGTGGACCAACACTATACATTGACGGGGAAGGGGGTAGCAATAAAGATAACACCATTAAACAGTTACACAACATAACAGAAATAATATCGATAGCAGCGTCCCTAGCAACCACCTTGGTAACAATGAAAACGTTATGGACGCAATTTCCTGAAGTAATCTTAGTAATAACTAGCAAAATAAAGATCATGTACATCCACTGCACACATAATCTGAAATAACAACTCATATTTCTCGCAAACTAACTTTAAAATAGGCATTTTCCATCGAGAATAAAACGAAGTTCGGCCATGTTTTTTTTTTCTGCAGGGAGAAATTTGAAGATCACGTGACGTCAAACAGAGCACATGGTGTAGTCCAAACGATAGCTGGGGATTCTGGGTAGTGTAGTGTCTTCTGCCATCCTTTACTCCGAAAACATATTTGTTTCTCCGAATCGAAGGGGAAAAATACAAAAGCATTGCACACAATTTAAACCAATCAATGTTGTGTAATTAACAAGGATAATCTGGTGTTTTTTAGTCGATGAGTAGTGCAGATATCACTGTAAAATCAATCGACAGTAAGGGGAATACTTACTTCCGGGTGTACAATTCTCCGTTATCCAATGAGAATGGACGCTCACATTGCCTTTAAGGGCAGCCGACACAAACGAATGCCGTGCTTCCATGAGCGTCCATAGAAGCATATGGACATCCCGGAAAGCTGAAAATGGACGCTAAGGGCCCCCCCCTTGCGTTGAAAATGGACGCTAAGGCCCCCCCCCCTTGCGTTGGAAACAGCCGACAGGGGACTTGACATAACGTCAACATAGGCCGACCTGGGAGTGAGGATGTGTTGCAGAGGGTTCAGCCTAATCTAAGCCGATGTACTGTTGCCTCTGTAATCCGGACACTTAGACTTGAAACAGGTTAGTTAGTTTCAGCTCTGCATAACTCATGATATATCAGAGCTTATATCTGTTGGGTGAAACGTATTTACTTCATTACTGTCATTGAATTGTTGGCATGTTGCAGACTATAACTGTACAGAAATCCTGCACAATGTACTGTGGTAGACTCACTGTTATGCAACACAGACACTGAGCGACCACTATATCTTTGTTGTTTATCTGAAGGACTGAGAAACAAAGAGGTGGAAGGCTAAGGATGTTCAATGAGGCACAGGAAGCAGCAGCTACTAACTGGGTGTTGGCAAACAATGCATCACACTTAGAGAGATCCGAAGCATAGTAACTATGTGCTGAGATGCTGCACAATGTTATCTTTGAATACAATTTGTTTCAACAACTCATTTGTATTTCTTCCTTTACTGTATTTCTGTAAACTCAAGCAATCTTTCTCTGCAGAACCCTCTCTGTACAGAGCAGAGCCAGAACAGATGAGAGTGCTTTAGAGTATGCTCAGCAGTGTGTAGTTGGGTGGTCAAACAATCTAGTATTATGAATGAAGTGTGTTATATTTGGTGCTAACGTTTGCATTTGGTAAGTATTTATGTAGTTTTGAGTGCAGTTCTTAATTTAGCAGGAGAAATGAGGTGTTTTGCACTTTGGGTGTGTGGTTTTGTGAATTGTGTTTAGTGTTCTGAGAAACTGAGCAATTAAAAAAAAAAGTGTGTTAGCAATCGAGAAAAACTGTAAATTAACTACAATGGAAATACTCAAGTAAAGTGCAAGTACCTCCACAGTCTTACTCCTTAATTACAGTAATACAGTAAATGTACTTATTGCCACCACTGGGTATCACTACTTTTAATGAAGTAAAAGATCAGAATAGCTCCACTGGTCAGTTTTACACAAGGTTTTCACAGCCTGCACAATACTCCTGTTGTCCGGTGTGGATGAACAGAAGCTGCAAGAAAATACTTTCATAACTGTTTATTCAAAGAGGGAGGCAGGGCGCGTGGGGTTATGGGATACATGGAGAGGGGTGAGACACAAATTATCTGAGGGGCGCGGCTCTCTTCCAGGATCTCGCGCTTTCTCCTGCGGGGCTCACTCCTCTCCTCCCTCTCTCCAAGCCCTGTGCCTAATGGAGAAGAAGAGGATGAACTCTTTAGTGAAATGGACGCTTATCCTCTTCGTCCTTGCCTCCATCATCCTCAACATAGTCCTGATCGGCATCCACTCCAGCAGGGCGCCCAAATGCTCCGCTCAGCGCGTGCACCCGCTGCGGCGCAAACACGACGAGCGCAGCGCCGTGTTCGTGGACCTCTCCCGGGAGGAATACCTGCAGGTCCAGCAATTCATGCTAAAGCAGAATAACTTGGAAATATCCACCAACCAGATCTCCAAGCCGTCGGATAACTTCCTGTTTCTAATAGATCTGTCTGTGCCAAAGAAAGCGGACGTGCTCGCGTATTTGGACCGGAATGGCGCCAAGCCGACCAGAGAGGCCACAGTGGTGGTGTTTTACGGTGCCAAAGGATACATCAAGGAGTACGTAGTGGGCCCTCTTCCCAACCCAACATACGTCAACGATGTCACCATGGAGAGGTACCACGCGGAGCTGCCCATCAGTGCGCGCACGGTCACCATCGGGGAATATAATCTGCTTTTCCAGTTTTTGGGAGACGTCTTCTCTAAACTGGGGAAGATCATGAAGGAGAGCTTCGATATGGGTCCGGACAAGCAGCTGAACGCGTTCGAGCAGATGCCCCGCGGAGTCCGGACCGGGGACAGGAAGACCTGGATCTCCTTCTTCAGGGACATGAGCGGCATGTATATCCACCCGGTGGGCTTCGAGGTGCTGGTCGACCACCAGAGCGTCAACGCGTCCGAGTGGAAGGTGGAGAAGCTGCTCTATAACGGACACTATTTCGACTCCATAGACGCACTGAAGGATAAATACGATAAGGATCTCGTAAAGAAGATCGTCTACAAGGAGTCCCCTGATTATGGCTCTCTGAAACCCAGGAACAAGCCCCTGCAGGTCGGTCCGCAGCTCTTTAACGCGGAGGGGAAGCGCTACAGTGTCAGCAACAATCACGTCGTGTACATGGACTGGAGCTTCGCCTTCGGGCTCAGCGCGCTCACGGGCATGAGGGTGTTCGACGTGCGCTTCAACGACGAGAGGATCGTGTACGAGCTGAGCGTGCAGGAGGCCATGTCCGTGTACGGGTCGGTCACTCCCGGGATGATCCTGACAAAGTTTCTGGACTCCAGCATCGGGATTGGCCGCTTTGCGCATGAACTGGTCCGCGGGGTGGATTGTCCCTACGAGGCGAGCTACGTGGACACATACCGCTACATTGATGTCCCCAAACCGGTCCGCTTCAGGAACTCCATCTGCATATTCGAGCACAACATGGGCCAGCCCCTGAGGAGGCACTTCTCCGACTTCTTCCACCACAGCTACGGGGGCATGGTGAACAGCGCACTGGTGTTCAGGACCATCACTGCCATAGGGAACTATGACTACATATGGGACTTCATCTTCTACCAGAGCGGGTCCGTGGAGGCCAAGGTGCACGCGACCGGATACATCTCCTCCTCCTACCTGGTGGACGGGGCTCTGCGGCACGGACACCAGGTGGCGGAGAAGGTGCTGGGGAACATCCACACACACTTCATCAACTTCAAGGTGGACCTGGATGTGTTGGGTGAGTGGCAGTGATGCAAATACAGTGCTGTGGTGTAGAGTACCTAATGACATGTAATCAAGTAGCCTACTGTACTTGATCATTTAAATGTGTTGCTGCTTCTCCTCCACTATAATTAAACATTCCTCACGACGTTGACCTGTAATGCAGATTGGTCCATTTCAGAATAATATGATATGTTTTATAATGATTGATCATGAAAGTGTTCTCAAAGCTGGTAAAGGTGCAGCTAGTTTGAATGACTTTGTATACTGCAGGGTAGCTTGTGGATTTACTCCAGGTGGAACTAAAGTCTGATTTAACACTTGATATATTTCACATCATTCATCCACATCTGTGAAGTAACTAAAGGTATTAAATACATGTAGTGGAGCAAAAGTACACCATTTACCTCTGAACTGTAGTGGAGAAGAAGTACAAAGTAGCAACAAATTGAAATACTCAATACTTGAGTGAATGTAGTTACTTTACACCACTGAGTGTCAGTGATGCGTTTAAAGACAGGATTGCAAATACATTTACTCAAGTGCAGTGGTATAAAATAAAGAAGCTATTTTCAAACAATAGCTTTTGATGAGTCATTCAAAATATGTTACTGATAACTCAGCCTCAGATTTCACTGAACGAAGCCTGGTTAGTTTCCAGAGGCCCTGCCCGAGGATCTGAGCATCAAATCAGCAATGTGACTGTGAGCTGAACCGTGAAGGGGTTAAAAATGAGTCAGCAAAATCTAATCTAAAACGTACTGGTAGTTGAAGGGAGGATGGAAATAAGCTATGCTAACACCAAGAGAAGAATATGTTATCATTTGTCAGTCTGTTAGTTATAACAAAAATAACTGACGTCTCCATCATGCCCGGAGCTGTAGCCAGGACGTGGTCAAGAGTTCAAGCCCCAACACCCCCAAAACTGGTTACCTGACACCAGGAATATGTGGTGGCTCAGAAGCAGTTTGTGGTTCATGGTTAGTCAACAAAGTTCAAACCGGATGGAAAGCTAGTCTTCACGATAACTTGAAATTAATTAAATAACATTTTATTTGGCTGACGCTTTTATCCAAAGCGACCTACAATAAGTGCAAAAATCATAAAGATTAAAATATTAGGAAACACATCAAGCACCTGGCAAGGATTGACATGTGGATCAAAATGACCTAAGCAGGTCAGTCTTGGCTTTCATGTTACAAGAGAAATTAATTATTGTGAAAAACATTTTTGCTTTTGTTCTTCTGCAGGAGTAAAGAATTTCTTTCAGACCAAAGACATGGAATATGTCAATGTTTCGCTGCCATGGATGCCTGATCACTATGCGATGGTGCCTCAGCTGGTGGAGAAGCAACTGAAAACAGAAAAGGTCGGGCTCCCTTTATGCCTTTAGTCACTTGCATTTAGGTTTCTTTTAACAACATGTAGAGGAGAGTGTGTAACAAAGACAGTGTGGAGACTGCATGAAGTGTTGTTTTGGTTCCAATTGATCACTGCAGCGAACAATGTAAGGTTTTTCCTAACTTTTCCTAAATATTAGATTAGATTGCGTAGTGTGTTCCTCTCCTGTAGTGTTATATAGGTTTTTGTGCTTGTAATTGGTCTGCAAAGGTTAAAATCCTCCCTACATCCCTACATCGTTTCAGTCATCCCCCTGCCTGAAACGTCTCCATTGGACTCCTTTGTTTACTTCCGGGGAACATAGTGACATCCCTAGCGCTTCTTCTGGCTGGCACTCCAACACACTGCAATTGATAGGTTAAGGGGCAGGACATCTATAAGCGGTTGACCAATCACAAAACGAGCAGGCCAGCTAACCAATGCTAGCAGGACTGCTCCGTTGCCCGGAGCCCGCCGACAGCGTATTACGCTGCCGGGGGACGCCTAAGTTACGAATGCCGGCTTACTCCGCCCCCTCCGACGTTTGTAAAATAGCCGGACCCCCGGGGGGTCTCGGGGGGGTCCCCGCGCCTCCGGCCATCGCCGACCCCCGCCCCGGCGACGATCAGAGCAGACAGTGCTCTTGGTATTTGTCGCTTTACATCTTATCTTTCTTATAAACGTATATATCACATTTAACATAATAAATAGCAAGCGAATTTGCAACAACGCTTCCAGCACGACTCACCCTTAGCAATGCTAATGTTTGCTTCCTGTTTGTTATCTCCGCCCTCCCCTCACAGTCGAGGGCGGAGATAACAAACAGGAAGTAAACAATAACCTGCAACGTAAACATTTTTTTACAAGGAACGTAACTTAACTCATAGAAATAAAGTACACAACTTATTACAAAGGAAACATTCACAAACAAATAATTATTCACACGCATTTTTAACTCACATGACCTGTAACTGTCAACCCAGGATGTAATAGTATGTAGGCCTACTTTTTATTACAATGAAAGCTTCCTTAGTACCCCAGTGTTGCAACAGACCATCTTGACTGTAGGTACGGGGACTAGGTGTCCCGCTTTGTGCGGGACTGCACAGCATTTTGATCATTTGTCCCACACATTTTGCCCATCCCCCGCATTTGATTGACAGTCGCCCGTCTTAAATAAGGCTTTTTTACAAAGGTGTGTAGAAAACGAGAGGACTATCATCACCATTAGCTGTGTCAGATGTCAATCAATCAACAGAGAAATGTATTAACCTACACGCAGAGTGTGTGGGGCTGCATCTTATGCGCAAATGCAGTGCAAATGCAGCGCAATTATGCGCAACAGTTTCCCCGCAGTGAGGCTCCGGCGCTAACAGTCACGAGCCTGCTCTACTACCACCCCCCCGGATCTATGGATATATTCAACCTGAAACCAAAAGAGATGAGGTAACAGCAGCTGATTTAATTAACGTTTAGCACACAGGGCAGCAGACCTATTTTTAGGCAATAGCATAGGCCTCAGATATATAATATATAAAAAACATGTCTATAAAGTGTTTTGCTCAAACTACCAAACAGATCACCCATTTTAGCCATGCCTCATATCCATAGACTGTATATATAAAGCTCATATCCCTCCATTTCACTTCCTGTTGCAAAAGTGCTGATTTGGGTATAAAGCTTTAAAAAAAAGAAAACAGAAGGGGGCTGAGCTCATGCGGGAGATTCTACCGGCAGATAGCCTACTGTCTAAACCAGGGGTCGGCAACCTTTTTGATATGAAGTGCCATTTAAAAAAAAAAAACATTTGATTAGTGTGCCGACGCTCGTGAACTGTCAACTGGAGGATGGGGGAGCCTCGCTGCGGGGAAGCTGTGGACCTCTGTCGCCTATCAGCGCAACTTACATGATGCAGTTTAAACACGGTTAAATAAATAAAGGGCGGTGCCGGCCGCCAGCGAACCGAGCCCGGTCGTCAACGGCCCGCTGGCCACCGGCTCGGTTCGCTGACGGCCGGACGTACTGTGATTCTCCAGAACACACAGTTGGCCAGTCCGCCCCTGTGTAGCATATTATTTTCGATGACAGATGAACAGATCGCGACTGGGCTTTCAACTAAAGACACAGCCATGCAAAAACTGCGGCATGTACAGCTCCTTATGCAATGTGTGAAGTGCGCTACACCCCTGGTCGTTTCACCATGGAGGAAAGCAGCAGAAAGTCGACTGGAGTTAAAGAGAGCGGGGCCTATGTTGGAGATGCGAGTGGTCTGAAACCCACCTCGGCTCCGCGTGTCCTTTTGATGAGCTGGTTTAAATCATAAAAGGAAGGAATTAAAAAGCACCAGGATACAATTTTAAACATTAATCTGTTTTAATGGTAAAATACACAATACAATTCACAGAGTACTCTGGGCTCAATTCCACTACCGTGCTACACCGAGACGGTCAGTCAGAAGGGGCGCAGAGCATAAGAATGTTACAGCTTAAATACAAATTCTGTGGGAGGAGTTGTGTAGGTTGCTCCTCCTTAGCTATTTGTTATTGGCGAGTTCACTTCTGGGCGAGCTAGCCAGTGAGTTGGCAGTTTTCCATTGGCCAGTTTCACTTCTGGACGGACCCTAGGCAATGACTCAGCAGTTTGTTGATTCCATCTCCTTACAGTGTGTGTGTGTGTGTGTGTGTGTGTGTGTGTGTGTGTGTGTGTGTGTGTGTGTGTGTGTGTGTGTGTGTGGGTGTGTGTGTGTGTGTGTGTGTGTGTGTGTGTGTGTGTGTGTGTGTGTGTGTGTGTGTGTGTGTGTGTGTATGTATGTTTGTCCCTATACCCTCAGGCTAGGGCTGTGCGATTATGGCAAAAATCATAATCACGATTATTTGGGTCAATAATTGATATCACGATTATTTTGACGATTATTCATTGACCATTTATTGAACTTTAAAACAAATAATATTTTACCAATAAACAAGATCAACAAATATGTTGGAGCGCACTTCCAAAACCATATAAACATATATTAATATGATAAATAAAAATAAATTAGACCAAAATAAATTAAATCAAATATGTTGCAACTGTCACAACCTACTGAAAACTCCTTAACATATAGCCAACATTTTGGTAAAATATATTCAACATATTCCACTCAGTTAAACGTTGAAGGCTGGCCCACCGTCATGGTCCAGAAGTAACAGGAAATAAATGTTGAACTACAATTTAAGACCAAATAAAAATGTTTAGGCCACCATGGTCACACCATGCTGGTAGGGCTGCTCGTGTCATCTCTTAAAGATGTTTTGCAAGAAACACCATCCTGTTTACATGGTCTGCTTTCAGAGATGAGCGCAGGCAGGTGACAATATTGCCACCTGTACTGAAGACCCTCTCTGAAGAGGAACGTGTGGCAGTGCTGCCACATAGGACACAGGACAAAAAGAAAAGACTCTGAACCCTTTCTTTGCCATTATATAAAATTAGTGTTGCTACAAAAGTATAAATTAGGCTTACTAATAAGACAACTCAGATCTGAAGCTACTCAGGAATCTGCTGCCAAAGTGCAATAAAAGACTAAATTAATAGAATCAAACCCTTTTTTTGTTACATTTTATTAGAGTATACAAATAAATACCTTTTTAAAATAGGATGCAAGCAACACTAGTTTCTTAACCTGAACTGATAACAGACTATAATCAATTTAAGTTTGCATTCTTATACCATTTTGTACAATAATTATAATGAATAAGTTCAAACAAACTCAAACTTACAGCTGATTAATAACGGTATCTAACTTGAGTTTTTATTATATCAAAAACCTGTTGAAATGCTGCTGTTATTTTTACTGTCCCACAAAAGCGCGTCGCAGCCTCCAGGAATGCTTCTTTCACAACTTCGCCATCTTTGAAAGACTTCATGTGTTTCTCAAGAATGTGACAGACACGATAAGATGCTCTGGTAGCAGCCTTGCTCTTGTTGTTGGGCCTGGTGAAAATGGACTGCTGTGCATTTAGCTGTCCTTTCAGGCCCCTCCCCTTTTGGAGCGTAGGGCAGAATTAGGAGGGAATTCCGTCTCGTAGCGTTTGTGCACTGTTTTGAAATGCCGCTCCTAAATTACCCTTCTTCGATAAAGCCATGCTCGCATTGCAGATGAGACAGATGGACTTTGAATTGGAATAGATACAAAAATAATCATCCTCACACTCGGAGTGAAAATTATATATTTTGGGCTTTTTTGCTTCTGCCATAATTGTGGTCTTGTGTGTGTGTGCGGACTGTCACTGCACTGCACTGCCCACTGCCCACCAGCCACACCGGCCAATCACAAAGCTTTGATGCGTTCAAGTGCATTATTCTGGCACAGGAAGATTATGTTATAGGACATTAACGATAAAACAGAATATTGTTGTTCTATTTTTTGACACATCTCGCGATCGACTGGGAATCTCCCCGCGACCCTTATTTTTAACGAGTTGCTGCTCTTGTTCTGACATCTTCGCTCGCGCTGAACACATGTCACTCCCACGTGGCCGAGTGGGCTTTTAGGGAGGGGCGAAAGCACACCCAGCAAAATAATCGTATTTTGTCAATTATGCTGTTTTCATAATCGTCACAAGCCGTAATCGTAATCGCGATTAAAATACGATTAATTGCACAGCCCTACCTCAGGCAGTCCCCCTTGTCATGCTTTGGAGTCATATCATTTCACAGACAGAGGACTCATTCCTCTTTAACGCACACACATTCCCCCTAAACATCTTCAACCCGCACATCTGTTTAAACCAACTATTCCAAAATGTGGTGGCAATTTAGTATTTATAACATGAAAGAATAAAACAGAGAAATCAATAAAACACAAACACATAGTTGAGCAGTAATTATAGCCATGTTTTCAAATAGTAGAACGTTACAGCAGGTTTAACGCACCCTTATTTCATTATCCAGCCAACCACACAAAATGTCACATGTTTTTCCCACTGAAAGCTATACTTGTTATAGATTTAACCGTCATCATCTCATGACCTCCTTAGGTTTAGTTAACTAACAAAGATGAACTGTTCCCATGCCCTAAAGACATCTCTGAACTTCCTTCCACTCCAAAGTTAGCTCACTTAAAATGAATGCATCGATTGATAAATCAAAAGGACCATTGTCTCTAACTGTGTGACTCACATCATCTCATGACTTCTTCAAATATCTGGAAACTGTAATCAAAGTATGTTATATTTGAGAAGATCCAATAATTGACATATTTCCTCCTCTTATTAATTTAAGCTTCCAGATTATACAGAAAACTCTTACAGACTGAGTTCTGCCCTCGAAAGCCCAAAATGACTCTCTGAAAAATAATTTTCAACGGGTAATTATTTTACTCAAGGCAGAAATCACAGGCCGTGCTGCACCATTACCTACTCACAAATAGCCAAAAAACCACCTTCTGATTATTAACAAGTCAAGTGGAAGAAAAGACCATTTGCGCTAAATGTACTTCTACTAAAAATGGGACATCATTATAGGAACATCAATATAAAAAAAAACCTCTATATTTAAGAGGAAAAAATTGACTTGTCCATCCAAGTTTTAATACACATATATTAGATGACATTAAAAATGAATATACCAGAAATACGCTATACTAACTTTCTGCTTAATACGTTATTCTAATACTTCACCTATAAGTTATCCTTCCGCGCTGCGTTGTGTGCATGGCTTCCTTCTGCAGGGGGAGACGCGCTCTGCCAGCGGTCTCGTTCAGGATCTGAAAATACAATTTAAATATTTTGCACACTTATTCCTAGTGTGCCACTGGTTACGGTCCCGCGTGCCGATGGTGGTACGCGTGCCAGGGGTTGCCGACCCCTGGTCTAAACTAAATACTGCGGTGATGAAATGCCATATCATGGATTATCAAGGGTTATTTCTGAAACAGTATAGAGCTCAAAGGCTTTCTCTCTTGCCGGTTATACCACAAGGTGAGTTCCTTTTTATTTCCTGCTTCTTCACACACATGCTCTCTGCAGTACAGGTTAGCTCTGAGTGTTAGCGATGCTAATGTAAACACCGACCATATTACGTCCAAAACAGTCAGGCATTGTTTCTGATAGCAACGTTTCTGATAGGCCCGTGGGTGTAAAGCCAGCCTACATTTCCGATATTACGTCATATCGGACGCAAATCTGGATCAGCTCCGTTGTAGCCCCGTTTTTAGAGATTTGGGTACGGAGGAAAAGAGAGAGGGTTTATTTTCTGACGCTGCGTGAGTTCCCTGACACACCGGGGACACATGTTGATGTATAACAGACATCAAAAAGTGCATTTTGCATGATAGGTCCCCTTTAATATTTATGTTCTTCTTAGGGTTATATAGACATTATATAAACATCTAATCTAGCTCTCAGTAACGCAGTAACATGTCCCGCATTGTACCGCAAAAACGTCCTATTTGTCCCACATGTGGCTTGTTGGCACCTGGGGCCTAATGTATAACGCCGTGCGTAGGATTCACGTGGGAAGGTTGCTTACGTAGTAGAAATCCAAAAAATAGGTACAGAAATGTTCCGACATTTTCCGATTCACCAAACATTGCGTACCGGCGAGGAAAGTGTGTACGGCACTTTCTACGCCGGTTTCCCTTTATAAATCACAACCGACTCGAAATGCGGTGCAGTTTTTGCGGGCTTCACGTAACGCCCATATTTGCCTATAAATAGTCAAAGAAACGCCCATTCATTCATTTTGACTGACTTTATGAAGAAGATCGCAGGAAATGACGACAGAACAGTTAAAAAATACATCTCACACCGTGTCAGATTTTGGTTATTTTGGGGAGGTCGAGATAAATCATATTGTTTGGTGGATGCCGTTTGAACCAGAGTAGCAGCATGGAGGTCGGATCGTCACCAAAATAAATAAATAAGTGGTCAGAAAAAGGTTCATGACAAAATAAATACACATAGACTTCCTCAGGCAGTGTGTTTGTACCGGGCACAGGAGACCCCCCCCCCTTGATGAGAAACTGTAAGAAATGATCGGGGAATCCCCTCGGTGTGGAGTCATGACGACTGGATCTGAATTATGTTTTTGTATTTGGTGGTTTGTGTTCCAGCGTCTCCACTGCAGCCTGTGCATCTCAATCCCCCCCGCAGCAACTCTATATCCACCATGTGTTGTTATATTAGCTGTACAATTTACCATAGTTAGTTTCCATACCTCCTGTGTTTTACGAGCGACTTGTCAAGTCTTGGAAAACGGCATAAAACACGATTAAACGTGATAGTATATAAAACCATGCTCGTATCTACAACCTATAGAAATGCAAAACGGCGTCAGTTTAGACGTAATTCTGTCCTCCTGCTTACCGCATCATTTATGAGAAAACATTTCATAACATTAACACAACATATTCGAGGTGATTTTAAATAACATATCCGTATTTATTTATTTCTCCAAGTTATGTTTTTGTGTGCACTGAGGAGTCTCAAACAGACGTTTGTTAAATCATTTTAAGATTGGCTTTAATCAATGTTTGAAAATGAATTCTTCATATATGATAATTGAGAGGTAACATTTTATTTATGGTATTATTTCCACATATTTCTCTCCATTCTTCCTTCTGCCAACGGTGTCGCAGTTTCTCGTCTCTCCCGTTTTTGTGCTTACTGCGTACGCATGGGTTAGACTAGTTTGCGTGGAGGACCGCACGTTTTTCCCGTCAAGTTAGTATTTTATAAATCGCAAACATTGCGTAGAAACTGGCGTACACCATTTTTTGAGCGTATATCCCTTTTATAAATGAGGCCCCTGGTCACCCTAACTGTAGGAATAATGTGTACTGTGTCTCTTAACAGGAGGCAGCGCTGCGTTACGACACCAAGACTCCGCGCTACCTCCACATCTCCAGCAACAAGACCAACCGCTGGGGCCACCAGCGCTCCTACAGGCTGCAGGTGTTCAGCTTCACAGGGGACCATCTTCCCGAGAGCCAGGCCGAGGAGAGGGCCATGTCCTGGGCCAGGTGAGACCAGACACAGCCACAAAGTGTATATTTAAAAAGAAATGCATTCCTAATAACACAATTAGGGTTATGCTCTTAATATAGCAATGTAAAAAGTATAGTTGTGGAAAACAGGATGTTGAATGGATAAGTAGCATGTCATACTTTTATGCAGCATGTCCCATCATGTTAAATTAGTCTCTTCATTAACCGTAATCTTGATTTTTCCTTAATCTTAACAATGCTGTAGATGCCATGAACTCCACAATTTAGCATCAAACCTGACATTTCTTTCATAGAACTTAATCTGTGGATCTGGTCCATAGCAATGTATTGCGGTTGAAGCCCCCTATGATCCACAAGGCATGCTTCTGCTATCTAAAGCCTCTCCTGCTTCTCTGCACCTTTTTGTCAATCACCAGGTATAAGGTTGCCATCACCAAGCATAAGGATGGAGAGCAGACCAGCAGCAGTCTGTACAGTCAAAACGACATCTGGTCTCCAGCTGTCGACTTCAGCAAGTACATTGAAGACAACGAAAGCATCGAAGACGAGGTGTGTTGTGATGGAATCTGTATGTAATGATGCGTTCACACGTGGGGCGATTACATGTAAAGTAGGGGTGTAACGGTTCACAAACATTTAGGTTCGGTACGTACCTCGGTTTTTAGGTCACGGTTCGGTTCTGTTCGGTACAGCAGAAAAAATTATCCACAAAACATAAACTATTAGTTTTGGGTTTTTAATTATTATTAAACTGTGAATAATGTATTCACTAAAATAAATACAAAATATAATAAAATAAACATTAAGGTGCAGCATTTCGATGAACTGAAATAATCTGTATTTTAACTGTACTGTACTAGCACCTAAGCAGCCAGTTTGACATTAGGACTTGCTTGTCATTGTATTTTCATGTTTTTTTTAAAGAAAAATGAACTTGTCCACATTGCTTGCCGAAAGGGCAGATCTGCTGGCACTAACAATGTCTCCTGCTGTGGAGAACACCCTCTCTCTAGGGACAGAGGTAGCAGATACAGCCAGGTAGCACTTTGCTAACATGGCAACATAAGGATATTTGGCGTTTGTAATAGCTTTGGCTCGGTCTGATCTTTCTGCGAGTGGTGGAGGCTTAAATGCTAGTGGGAGTTGGGTTTGCACTTCAGTCTTTTTTCTTTTGGTACCGGTGATATTCACGTTCGGGTGATGCCTTTTCAAATGAGTGTGCAAGTTTGACATATTGCCAGCCGCGTAACCAATTTTAGTTGAAAAATGCCGACAAACAGCTTTGGTTCGGTCCACCTGTCTTTGTCCGTCATCCTTGTACGTAACTGCGAAACCAAAATGTTCCCAAACCGGAGACTTCAATGATGCTGGAGGATTTTCGAGCTCAACTTTATCTGTGTTCGCCATTTCGACAGTTCCTCAAATTACTGACTGAATTTGAACGCATCCCTGTGACCAGGGGCCTATACTACGAACAGACTACGAATCAGGATTTTCATTTAGCAAGCTAACTTCAGGGATTTCCGGTCCTACGAAGCTGGTTAACTTTTTAGCGGGCTAGATAACTTATGCTGAGCGGCTAACCTGGTCTGGAGCAGGGGCCTATACTACGAATCTAGTTCAACATATCCTGGATATGTTTTGAGTTATCCGGTTGACTTAATCCAAAACAAAGCCGCTCTCGCTAAACTGTCCTACAACGCTGGCTATCAACTCGTTCGCTCAAGCCAGCCGTGTTATGGAGTCAGATTTGGGTCAATATTCTAGCGCGCAAAACAAGCTACTCATGAGCGGAAAATGTGCTTTTACACGTGCATGAAATGACCCTCACGCGCAGATTAAACCCCCGCGAGCGGCTATGCAGCCCTCTTGCTCGCTCGCGGGAGTGTCAGCCTCACTCGCTCGCTGAGTCTGTCTGCGCGCGCGTGAAATGTTTCTGACACTTTGGGGCGGAGCCACTGGACTTTGATTGACAGCTGCCAGGAAGCCCGGAGTTGCCAGGTTTGATAAATGCCTAGGCTTGGCAACTGGAAGGTCACCAGTTCAAGTCCCGGAAAGACCAAGTGTTACCGACGTGTCCCTGAGCAAGGCACCGTTCCCTACACTGCTCCCCGGGCGCCGTACATAATGGCAGCCCACTGCTCCTAACACTAGGATGGGTCAAATGCAGAGAAACCGTTTCGTTACATGGTACCTGTACTGTGTAATGACAATAAGTTGAATCTATCTATCTATCTATCTACATTCAATGAAAAATAAAATCAATGTGCAGGCTTACGTGAACACTGTTCTACATGTACAATATGGGCAGTTTATACATTAAATAAATCAACAGTATAGTGGGGATATGCTCCAAGTGGAAGCGATTCGCTATTAAAGCAAAGAAGAAGAAGAACTCTGCACAGTTGATCTCTTATCCTGGAACCTATCCTGCTCCGGCGCAGGTTAGCCGCTCAGCATAAGTTATCAAGCCCGCTAAAAAGTGAACCAGCTTCCTAGGACCGGAAATCTTGATTCGTAGTATAGGTCCCTGCTCCGGAGCAGGATAGGTTCCAGGATAAGAGATCAACTCAGTGAAAGCATCGCCTGCTGACCAATCAGAGCTCAGTGTGCGGAGAAAATACAGTTTAAACTGCCAGGAAAGACGGCCGGCCAAAATCACCGACTGTGTGAACGTGAAAATGAATAGAATTTCACCTCCCATCTTCAGAGCTATCTGACTATTATAACTATTATACTATTATTATACTATTATGTTAAGAAAGCTTAATTAAATATCTGCCACAACATAAGTAACCGGATCAGAGTAACATTACGTACAGTCCGCGGCACTGTGAGTACAGACGTCGATGTGTCCCATTATCATTCATATCACATCATATCACATCATAATGTATCATATATCTCCTTATCTGAGTCAGCTGAGCCGTATCTGGCCGTGCAACACTCACAGTGTCACATACTGTATGCAGAAGTATTATTTTAAGCAACACATTAAGTTGACGAAACACTCGAGTCAAATGTAATTAAAGTCAGATCGTGTTTTAGACGGGGCAGTGATATCATAAACCTGTTAATGTACGCATTCAAACACTTTTTCTCTTACCAGCTGTATTCACCTTGCAGGTGCAGCTATGTGGCTTTTATCCTGGATAAAGTGTTTAAGTCATGGATGTTTTCATTCAGGAAGTATGACCAGACCTGGCGCCAGAACAAATCTAAAGGGAGGGCATATGATTTTCATGGGAGGGCACACAAAACCGTCACGTGCTGCGGGCCTGCGGCACAATATCAAACAGCAAGACCAACAGCATTGCGTAAAGACGCACACTTATCGCAAATACTTACACAAATAAAGGGCAACATAGAAACCACTTTTGAAACATTGTGTGCGTGGCAGCACAGACACTGGTAAATCACGAGCAAGGCACACTGGTTACGGATGGCAGCTTCCTCATCGTTGCACTCGGAGAGAAATAGACGGAGACTATGAACTGTTAAGCCCGCCTTGGGCATGGTTTATTTTCCTATGCACTGCACTCGGACATGCTGTGGAGTAAATCGAGTCACCTCTGAGAGGGAGTTGGTTGACAGCTAAAAAAGCTATAATATCAACGACAGCTGACACGTAATAATGGCTCCGTGCCAGCTGATCTGCACCAAAGTATACTAATTTCCTTATTTGTTTCCTCGCGTATCTGTCTCTCTCTCCACACACTCTCACATGAAATGTGTTCTTTTGATGCGGCATGCCTTAGCAGTCCTTTATCAGTCTGTAATGCGTGTTTCCAGTCACAAAAACCTTTGACAGTAAAAGCCGCATCAGATGAAGACGTATTTACTTTAAACTGTCTACAGGGGAAACAAATGCTGCGTCTGCTTTTAACGAATATTCATTCTTGCCGCTGCATGGTATGACTGCATGGTACGTCTGTTGTTGTTGTACCATGCAGCGGCAAAAGTGCGCTTCTTTCCTGAAAACAATCTCCCTGGATAACGATCCAGTTTCACCTGGTTGGGTTTATTAACCCCAAGATCATCTGGGGCTGTTGGTCTTTGAGCGGTTGCTGGCCCAATAATAGCCTACCTGTTGATGTGCTGCAAGGTAGCGTCTGTAGTGGAGGCACCGGCACGGAGCAGGAGGAGGATGCTGGCGGATGTGGTACAGGGTGTGGCAACGCAGGTGGTGATGGGAGGGGCACAAGGAGCTGTGCCTCGGAGGACAGCGTTGGTGGCGGCCGCCTTGATGAGTCATGGATTGGGCTCGCTAACTCAGCCCCGGGGTTTGCCGAGGTCAAGCTTGTGACATTAAGGCGTGCTGCTGCAACGGCAGGTGCAGGGTCGCCAGCAGCACCATCGGCTGCAGTTCTTTCATCGCTATTTCGTTTGAATAAATCCTTAGACCTTTTAAGCCAATTTCTGATGTCCATTTTGTAATTCAAACAGAAATGGCAGTCTACAGAATGCACAATAAACAAATCTAATGCACCTAACTAGATAGGACACGGCTGGCTTGAGCGATCGAGTTGATAGCCAGCGTCGTAGGACAGTATAGCGAGAGCGGGTTTATTTTGGATTAAGTCAACCGGATAACTCAAAACATATCCAGGATATGTTGAACTAGATTCGTAGTATAGGCCCCTGCTCTCATAGTATGCCTCTCGTCCAATGAAATGACTTGCTCGCTCTATGACGCGTTGAACCCAATGTGAGTAAATTACTCTGAATGCTGCGACGCAGCACCTGAGATTACTTCCAAAAAGTTGTTCACGTTCTCAATTGTTTACGTTTAACGTTAGATTCATTCGGTACACTTCGGTACACACGTGTACCGAACCGAAGGGCCGGTACCGAATCATTTCGGTACGGGTACGTATACCATTACACCCCTAATGTAAAGTCAACGCAAAGACGCAGGAATTGGCGGTGTGAGTTAAGTGAATGACGTGGCCAAGCTTAATTCGTGAGAGTTCAAAGCGATACATTTGCGTGATGCTGTCCCGATAAATCTCAGCCTGTCACTGACGTTGTTGAATCAATCAATCAATCAATCAATCAATGTTTATTTATATAGCCCAATATCACAAATGTTACATTTGTTTCAGTGGACTTTACAGTTTGTACAAAATATCAGTATGACAATACGACACCCTCTGTCCTTTGACCCTCACATCGTACAAGGAAAAACTTCCGAAGAAAACCCACAGTTTAAAGGGAAAAATGGGAGAAACCTCAGGGAGAGCAACAGAGGAGGGATCCCTCTCCCAGGACGGACAGACGTGCAATAGATGCCGTGTGTAAATTGAAAAGATAATACATTTGCAACATAGGTAGTCCAAATGTTTGGAAATGCATGTGTGTATAATAGGAAGATGAATCCACGAGGATATCCATCCAGGACCTATGATCCAGGACCACAGCCACGACTCAAGATCCAGGGCTCGCGATGCAGGACACAGGACCGCAGGATCATCCATGACTCCGGATCCCGGCGTATATAGACACCAAAAAGAAAGACATTTGGGGAAGCTGGGTTAATCGGAACATGA